CTCTCTCTCCCTCTCTCTCTCTCACTCGCACATTATTCTGCTTTTGTCTTTACACGAAGAAATAGTGCCAATGTAATTATAAAATTATATGTATTATATATCCATGAATATTTGTACGCCCGTTATATTAATTACAAATAAGTATTATTGTATGTATATTATGAAAATAGGCTTGCATTTAACAATGTGCCTATAGATATTATGAGTCTTGACTTCTAAGATCTATGGCTTATCGATTTCTTCATTCTGAACAGTCTTTTCACTTGTATATGTGTTATGAGAGATGTGCGAATCATAGTTTTTTTTAACTTCGAATCGAATCACATAAAACATAACTTTTGACAAACAACAATTATTGTTAGATTGAATTTTACATAGATAGTAAAAAAATTTTTATCTGTTTACTTACTAGTGAGATTTTATAAGATTGTTAAATATATGTGTGATTTGTATTTGAATCTTTTAGATTCGACATTTTCGAATAATTCGGATCGAATTACAGAGATCTTATCTGATTCGTATTCGAATAGTTCGCACATTTCTAACGTTACTGAACTGTATTTTTCTATATACATATGTCACATGGCGTAGCCGTATAACATGTATTATGCTAAAGCATCATAATTTGTAATTAGTTAATTTGTTCTTATTACATCGTTTTCTACGTCTTGTGACTTACTTAAGTGTCGAGTCTCTTCACTGTTATCGCATATTTAACACTATATAGATAATCGTGTAATTAATTAAATTAATTTAATTATAGAAATTAGCGCTTTTTTCGGTCAGAGATAGTTTCATTTAGTATTAAATATGCGAGCATAATCGGGATTATCGCATGCTTCATAATAACTATCGAAAACTGAATTATAATAATTATTTTTTAATATGTGTTCAATTGTGAAATCAATCATACCGTGATCTCTATTAATGTGCGACATTCGCCGAAGATGGTACTGTGAAAATCTTCATGTACTATAATTGAAGATATTCCGCAAAAAAAGGTGTCTGCCTTTTAGTCTCTATTGTCCGCACATAGACAATAGATATATCTTGTAAAAAAATTTTAACTACAATGGCTGTGCGATAATTTTTATTCAAATGCTACAATTATCCTTGTATATCAATTAATAGTCATCGTATTCTTTTTTCTTTCGCTCTATGTGTCATAAATTTTAAGCTCCTGTTTTCCATTACGTAGCAATTTTTAGCTGTGAATATTAAAGAATTTTCTTCGATGTCGAAAGCCGCTTGATAATAAATTTATTATATAGATATTTTGATTTTTTCTTCGATTTATAATATAACGAAATTCGATATTTGATGTTGCATAATTTATATGATTTGCCAATTTTATCTTTATTATTAGACATTTCATGATCTATCTATTGTATAAATCTGTTATCCGCGTTTGTTATCGTTGCGAATTACGAATCATGCGCACGAGGATATTTGTACCTGGATTTGAAGATTGAACTTAAGTTAATAAATTAAAATTCTCCATTAAAAGCGAAGTTAATAAAAGTATTCCTCTGCGCTAAGGTTTAATGCATTACAAATTTCATTTATATATATATATATATACATATATATATATATATATATATGAGTATGTCTACGTGTTTGTATGCTATCAGTCAATACGTGTATCTGTATTTTCTCGAAAGAATGGAGTACGCACCTCGCAAGGATCACGATAAGATTTGACTCTTGGCTTCCTGTTTTAAGTGAGAATCTTTATCGCTAAAAAAAATTGCATATAAAATACAAGAATTTGCAAGTTCTCTCCATTAGATTGTAACATACGAGAACGTGATCGGATTTGCGAGTTAAAAGTAATGAATGATGAACGGTATTAAAGATTCGTTTTTTTTGCAAAGACTATAATCTATTATTATGATGATACGACCGAGCATGTTGCGAAGGAGAAGACGCTATAAAAGTTAATTAGTACAATTTAAAAGTGCACGTCGGGCAAGCGTTGCGAAGGTTCTTGCTAATTAATGAGTATGTCAGATATTTTAAGTCTGAAAGTGAAAACTTCTTTCATTGTATTATATAGGATAAAGGTTGCGATATTATATATAACGGTCGCCATGAGCTCCCACTTATGCAAACTATTAATAGTGAAATGCGTCGACTATTATCGAAGACGTAAGCGCAGTTCATCGATACAAAAGCTTTTCTTTTTTTAAAAGTATGACGTAATTTACTCGACGTTATGTAATATTAGAAATAGTGCGCAGTGTGTGCATTATTTAGAACGAAAATGTTGGAATTTTAATAGTAATATAGTTTTGTATATTTTTTGCTCTTTTAGTATGTTCTATACGTTACTATGTACACGTTATTATCTTACACAATTATAAGGATGTACATCAGTGCTTTTGTATTTTTTCATTTTATGCATTGTAATTATTAAATTTATTTATTGTTACAAAATGTTACATGAAGGAGTTAAATGAAAATTATCAAACTACAGTATCAATACTTATATTATACGTATAAGTGTGTTTTAATTTATAGACGCATGTAAATTAAAATATATAAATTAAAGTAAACAAAGACAATTTTTAAAAATGTAAACATAAAATTGTTTAAATTATATTGTCAGTTTAACAAGGAAAGTGTCCGAAAAATTTCTATAATAGAAAAAGTACGAACATTATAGCATGTTCGATAAATAAAGGCTGCAATTTTAAAGAACTTTGATTAGGTTGATCAATGTTTTTTACAATATCCAAATGACGTGACGTGGCGACCGTTTAACAAATTAGTCTTTAGATATTGTAATGAAAGTCTTCGCATGTGGAAAATTCATCGAGTCATTCACATGTAAGTTGCCAAGATCGTTAATACAGTACGATCTAACTGTTATAAACAGTTAAAAAAAGAAATAATGAAACCAAACAAATTGATAAACACGGCACATAGTCCACGTAGTTTGCAAGCGATAAATTTACCGTGACGATTGCAAACGCCCAGTACACTATTCCAAGTAAATAAACACTTGTCGAATAGTCTATTGCGCAACATACGATATTGTGTTATTATAATTGTGTATAATTCCAAGAATGTAATATTAAATAACTCAATGTATATTACGTGATTATACGCCACACACAGACGCTGTATAAATATTTCTAAACATGTAAATATATTATAAAATATTTTCCCGAAAATCTTGTTTCTGCATTTCTTTGTGCGATTTTCTCCGACTTTATAAAGCTTGCGTATAATTTTAAGTTGTTATATTTAATTTTTAGATTATAATATAACAGTTTTGAGTCAATAATTAAAATAAGTTGTTATAATTTTATAAATTAAATTTTTAATATTTATATATTGAAAATCAAAATATCTTTTAATCATTGAATTTGTGTAAGTATGCTTATCTAAATTAATTATAATTAACACTTATGTTTATAATTAACACTTATGATGTTGTTGAAATTTGATATAAATCTCGCTGCGTTTCTTGAAAGTAAAATTTTTGAATTTCTTGTTGCTTGTAGACTGTAATCACCATTAATGTACATCTCATTATTGTTACAATACATAAAGTTAGAAAGGAAATAATTTCGAAATGATTACATACTTCTGTAGATGCATTCGTGATTACCGTATTCGCAGTAAATATGATACTTCTCTGAAGTGATAATTCAGGATAATTTTTAGGAATCATAAATACTAATTTCTTCTTAGGAATAAAAGCTGATTTGTTGTTTTTCACATGTTCTAAAAGAACAAATACGAGACGTTTGATATTACAAAAATCAATAGAAGACTATTATAACTATAAAATAATGATACGCTAAAGAAATCTTTGTACTGATTGATTACATCAATTGAGAAATTAAATGTATAAATTTAATCAGAATTATATATTGGAACGTTAGTACGTACTTGTGCAACCTGAACCATTCTTACGTCGTGTGACTTTATTTCCATTATTAGAAATTATTTCATCATATATCGGTACCGATATCGTTTCAAGTTTGTACGAAGACTGCAGAGGACATATTGATCTAGAATTAAATGACAAATATTCTTAGAGTTATCTTTATGATTGTTTTAAATCCAGTTCTATCAAAATGTAAGACAATATAATTTTAATCTCAGTTTATCTTTTATTATTGTTTATTTTCCTAATTCTTAGAATTAAAAAAAGATAAAGAGTAAATTTTTTGAACCGAGATATTAGGATTAATCTTACATTGCAGTGAAAGCGCAAGTTGTATATACCTCAATAATTCCGTAACATCGTCTGAAGTTAATTGCAACTTTCGCAATTTTTTTAAAGCGCTCTCCACCTCTCGTTTAACGTTTCTTCCTTGATTAAGATCAATCATTTCTGCTTTGATAGCATCGATTTCACTTATGAGATCAATCAGCTCGGGGCTCCTTTTCGTATCTAACAGAATTACCTTCGGTTTAACGCGCACATGTAAGTGAAAGAACCCTTTAAGGGTGCCCCCGACCGTACTAAATAAGTAATTAACTTAATCGGTAATTAACTTATTAGCAAATAATACTGTTTCATTAAAATAGATAGAATTATCATCTTTTTTGTTTAATATATGAGAAGAAAAAGATTAAATTTGGTACAACTATTAATTTTCTATTTTTTAATACAAGACTGAAAAAAAGACTGAAAAAAGCGACTAGATCAAAAAATTACATAAAAATATGATTTTGCTGGTTGAATTAATTGCCGAAGTTAATCAAAGTTCGATCAAAGTTGCTATAAATTTTTAATCTTTGTATGATCTCACCATCTTTACAATTGTTCCTTTGCTTTGCATAGTAATTTGTAACGAAGGGATGGTATTGAAAAATAACAGAGAAATCGTGTTCATGTGAGAATCGCCATATCTGTTCGCATAATGAGTTTTCCAGCGACCACACTTGATAATTTAATTTCTCCTAAATTAAAAGACAAAAAATATCTCGCGCATTTAATGTAATTATGAAATGAGTCACGCGCAATTCAGCGATATAATTAGATATATTCCAATAAATTAATGAAGCGCAACTTGCGGTTCCCGGGCTGCAAGCGGCCTATTTGTGTATAAATTATACAATTTAAATTTATATATTTAATTCATACTTAATTTCTAAAAACTTCATATTTAAATTTATACAACTAGTATCTTTTATAAATTAATACAAATAATTTTTGCAAATATTTAAAGAAAAATTTAAAATTATTTAGGTAGAATTTTATTGTATAATTTGGTTTTTTTTTATCACCAGCTTTCGTTTTTCTTCCTCCAGTATCTTTTCCTTCTCCAGAAAGCTGTCTCGGTACATACTTATTGCGTCCTTCGTGACTCTTAATTCTACACATTTATCTCCGTATGCGATCAGAAAAGGATCAGGAACAAAATTTATCGCATTGTTCGAAGCGATGTTCTTGGAGTCAATCATCTTTGTCATTTTTATTGCTCTACAGTCTACATTAAAGTAGAATAAAATTATATCTAAAATAATGACTACGTGCGTGCGTGCGTGCGCGCGTATGCGTGCGTGCGTGCGTGCGTGCGTGTGTGCGTGCGTGCGTGCGTGCGTGCGTGCG